TGTCTCTCTCCTCCCCCGCACCCGCCCCTTACTCTGTCTCTCTCCTTCAGCCTCCCCCTCACTCTGTCTCTCTCTCCTTCGCCCCCCACCATCACTCACTTCCCATGATTACCTCCACTCTCGCCCAAATCATCATCTCCCCAAAAATCACCCTCCCCCGTCCTCCAAATCACCGTCTCTGTCACTCGCTCTCCCTTGTCACTCAATCCCTCCCCACTCACTTCCGTCCGTCACTCTTGCCCTGTCACTCACTTTCTAGGCATTCACTCATTCACTGTTCATGTCCTGTCTCTTGCTCGCTGTGAAGTTTAAAGTTGGAGAACAAATATTAAGTTGGATCCTTTTGTGATCTAATGCATTTTATGCCTCTCAGTACTGCCCCCTTTGTCCATAGCTATGAATACAGTCACTTACATTGTGTAGTGAAAATGATCACCGAGAGAAAATGGATATGCACGGCTATGCAAAATGCTCCATAGGACTGTGAGCCCAAGATGTTCCCACGCCATGCTGGAATTTCTACTCAACTGTGAAGAGTGTCAATCTTAGTTTTACCTCAGACATACTTCCATAAGATGTTAGAGCCAAAGTAGGCCATTCAGCCCACTGACTCTGCTCCACCATTCAGTGAGATCTTAGCTGGACATGGCTTTTTGTTTCTTCTGCTGTGTTTTAGGTGTTGCTTTCTTACTTTACTCTCTCCTGATATTGTTCCAATTCCTACTGCAGCTTTTGTAAATGCTAATCTGTACTTGATGTACTATGTCAATGTCACAGGGAGGGAAAATCCAGAGTGTGATTTAATTCACAAACGACAGACACTGAATATAACGCTGATCTATTGATCTCTGCAAATACCTTTTTAAATGTTCTGTCTTTTATTGCAAACAAGCTCCATTCAATTCTATTCAGCTTTTACTGAACTGTAGAACATTCACTAGCAGCTCTTCCATGAATGATCCTGTTAATCTTGGTTGCAGTTCATCGACTTCGTACAGAGTTCTTCATTTTATTCTTTGTCGCTCTGTCTCCATTCTTATCAAATTGTATAATGTGGTAAGGTACTTCACAGTTGTTAATTTCAACATCAAGATTGAATGACAAGTTGCAAAATGAAGTATTTTGTCGGGCTGTGACAAAGTGATGATTTATGTCTTTTTTTGAAATGAACAGATATGGGTTCACAGTGCTCATAATGCTAGTGGATATTTCACCATTTATGGAGATGAATCGCTTCAATCTGACCACTTTAACTCACGTCTGAGTTTTGGAGACACGCAAACTGTATGGGCACGCACAGGTTACTTGGGATTTCTTAGACGAACTGATCTTACTGATGCAAATGGAGGTAAGGACTAGAATGCAGGAGTATGGGTCCACGATTTCAGAGTAACACATCATTGGAGCTTGCTTTTAAGATGAAAAAGGAGAGATACCAAAGGGTCCACGGGGCAATGTTTTCACACAGAGGGTGGTGAGTGTCTGGAACAGGCTGCCAGAGATAGTAGTGGAGGCAAGTACAATGTTGTCATTTAGGAAACATTTGGAAAAGTACATGGATGGGATAGCTATGGACCAAGCGCAGGCAAATGGGACTAGTTTAATTGTGAAAACTGAGCAGCATGGGCAAGTTGAACCGAGGGGCCTATTTCAATGTTGTAGATCCCTATGGCTGTATGACTATGACTGTTGTTGGAGTTGAGGGACAATAGCATCTTTCCTGGTTCTTTTTTTGTTTCAGGACTTTGCATTTTTAATCAGGAAGTTTGCACACTTTGTTAGCGATGCTAGAACATTTTCATAATTTGAATTTCAAATGAGTTTTGATGAAGTGTGTCGTTTCTGTTTTGTTAGAGCGACATGATGCACTGTATGTTGTGGGTGCCTTGGATGAAGCAATGGAGTTACGGGGAATGAGATATCACCCCATTGATATTGAAACATCTGTGATTCGTTCCCACAAGAGCATCACTGAGTGGTAGGTGTTGCTGCACTTGCTGAGCAGTTTTCACACATTGAGACATTTTCTTGTTTTGAGCAGAATAGGATGGTTCTATAAATCATGAAGTTAACATCTTCATCTCGTATGTCAAACTATTCTGTTGCGATATTAACAAAAATTTTTAAAGAACAAAGAACAATACAGCACAGGAACAAGCCCTTTGGCCCTCCAAGCCTGTGCCAGTACATTTTGCTTACAAGATCCATATCCCACCATTCCCTTTCTATTCTATGCGTTCGTCCAGGTGCTTCTTGAATGCTGTTGTTATTGTGTCTGCTTCCGCCACCTTCTCTGGCAGCATGTCCCAGGCATTCACCACACTTTGTGTGAAAAACGTGCCTCACATCTCTTTGAAACATCCCCCCTCCACACCTTGAACCTGTGACCCCTTATAATTGACTCCTCCACCCTGGGGAAAAACCTCATATCTCTACTCTATCCGTGCCATTCCATAATGTTGTAAACTACTATCAAGTCATCCCTCAACTCCTGCATCCCAGTGAAAACAAACCCACTCGATCCAACCTTTCTTCATAGTTAAAATCCCCCATACCAGGCAACATCCCGGTAAACCTTTTATGTACCCTTTCCAAACCATCCACATCCTTCTGGTAGCGTGGTGACCAGAACTGTACATGGTATTCCAAGTGTAGCCTAAATAAAGTCCAATAAAGCTGCTGCATAACTTGCCTATCCTTATACTCAATGCCCCTTCCAATGAAGGCAAGCATGCCATAGGCTTTTTTTTACTACCTTATCTACCTGCACTGCCACCTTCAGTGATCTGTGGACCTATACACCCAGCTCCTTCTGCAGTTCAATATTCCTTAGGGTTCTGCCATCCACTGTATAATTTCTACCTGTACTTGACCTTCCAACATGCATCGCCTCACATTTGTCTGGATTAAACGCCATAAGTTTTTACATTCATTTTAATTCCTGCAGTCAGATGGCTGTTTAGTTTTCTGAGATTACAGTGAAGCTTATCTTCCTGCTAAAGGAGTAATATCAATTTAATATTTATTTAGTCATTCAGTATTTTACTATTTATACAATTTATTCAGTAATCCAAGATGGTGCTGGAATGTGGTGACGTTATCCATTTTTCACTGTACTTAGTTACAAGTGACAAGGTATTAAATAAATCTAAATAAATATCAAATTTTAAAGAGACTGCAAGGCAATTCTTGACTATTTCCTCCTTCCCTCCTTCACAAAAAAACTAAAATCTGGCTTTTATAAGACCATACGACATAGGAGCAAAAATTAGGCCATTTGGCCCATCGAGTCTGCTCTGCCATTCAATCATGGCTGATAAGTTCGTCAACCCGGTTCTCACATTTTCTCCCCGTAACCCTTGATCCCCTTGATAATCAAGAACCTATCCATCTCTGTCTTAAATGTACTCAATGACCTGGCCTCCACAGCCTTCTATGGCTGTGAATTCCCAAAGAATAAGCATTATATTTAGGGCTTTACACCTGAAGGTGGCATGCATTTTATATTTATATCTGCAGGGGAAAAAAATATATAAGACCATGGAGATTTAAGTAAGAAACTGCAAATTTAGGACAATAAGCGATAAATGCAAAGTTCACAGTGACAGAGAAAGCAAGAAATGTAACGAGGTTGTAGACTTGAACGCTAAGCCAGTGGGTTTGGATGCAAACATTTCGTCTCCCTGCTAGGTAATATCATCAGTGCGCCCCTGGTGAAGTGTTGGTGTTCTGTCACACTTGTTATTTATATGCCTCGGTTTGCTGGGGTGGTTGGTGTCATTTCTGGTTCAGTTTAACAGTGGTTTATATATTGGATCCAGTTCAGTGTTTTTGTTGATAGAGTTCTGATTGGAATACCGGGCCTCCAGGAATTCCCTGGCATGTCTCTGTTTGGCTTTGCTATTATGGATGATTTTCCCAGTCGAATTTGTGTCTCTCTTTGTCCGTGTGTATTGAGACCAGTGAGAATTGGTTGTGTCTCTTGGTGGCTAGTTGGTGTTCGTGTATCCTTTATTGTCAGTTTTCTTCCAGTTTGGCCTGTGTAGTGTTTCTCACGGCCCTTGCATGATGTTTTGTATAAAACATTAGTTTTATTGGTTGTGGATAATGGGATCCTTTATGTTCGTCAGTAGCTGTCGCAGGGTGGTTGTTGGTTTGTGGGCTACCCGGATACCGAGGGGTCTGTTTAGTTATGTGGTCATCTCCGATATGTCTCTGATGATCACATCCCACTTCACCTTCAATGACTGTATATTCAAAACAAATTCATGGAACACCAATGGGATCCCCAATATCAGGACTAATTGCAGAAGCAGTAACGCAAAGGTTAGAATGGACAGTGCTCCCCACTATACAACCCAAACTCTGGGTCCGTTATGTAGATGACAAACGCACGAGACTAGAAGAAACCCACCGACACATAAACAACATTCTTACTGGTATAAAATTCACAAAAGAAGAGAACAATAACCAAATACCCTTCCTAGACATAATGGTGGAACGTAAGAACAACATGGAACTCCAGACTAGCGTCTATAGAAAGACCACAATACTGACCAGGCACTTAATTACACCAGCAACCACCCCAACACCCATAAATGGAGCCTCATCAGGACATTATTCAAATGAGCCCCAACACACTGCAGCAACCCGGAATTGCGCAAAGCAGAACAGGATCACTTATACGGAGATTTTAAAAGAAATGGATACCCGAAAAGCACAATCTGCCGTTACCTCCACAACAGACCACAACAGAAGGCACAACACAGCCAGACTCACTAGTCACCCTACTGTACATCAGGGACATACCAGAGATGACCACATGCAAAATACCATGCAAGGACTGGGAGAAACAGAACATAGGCCAAACTGGAAGAAAACTGACAATAAGGATACACAAACACCAACTAGCCACCAAGAGACACAACCAGTTCTCACTGGTCTTAATGCACTCAGACAAAGAAGGGCAGTAATTTGACTGGGACAACACGTCTATAATAGCACAAGCCAATCAGACATGCCAGGGAATTCCTGGAGGCCTGGTATTCCAACCGGAACGCCATCAACATAAACGTTGAACTTGAGCCGATATACAAACCGCTGAAAAACAGAACGGGAAATAATACAAACCACCCCAGCAACCGAGGCATATAAATAACAAATGGGATGGAATACCAACGCTTCACTAGAGACACACTGACGATGTTACTTAGGGTGATGAAACGTCTGCAACTAAACACACCGGCTCAATGAACAAGCTCCTTATCCACAACCCGATCTACAAATCTTCTCAAAAACTTCAAGAAATGTAATGCTGTGCAAAATAGCAACAGTTGAATGGAATTATCACCTTCAAAGAGAAATTACATATATGATTTAATAAAGTCTACTTGTGTTGCAGTGGAAGGTGTGGGCAAAGTTTCATGGGGACGACATTGGTGAGGTCACATCTGTGTACAGTTTTGGCCTGGAAAGACTGGGACTTTTTCTCACTGGAGCGTAGGACATTGAAGGGTGACCTTAAGTTTAATCATGAGGGGCATAGATATGTTGGATGGCAAGAGTCTTTTCCATAGGGTGGGGGAGTTCAAAACTAGGGGGCATATTTTAAGGTCAGAGGAGAAAGGTTTTAAAAGAACAAGAAGGGCAACTTTTTTTTTACAGTGATTCATTTGCAGAATGACCTACCGAGAAAGCGGTGGATGCAGGTACAGTTACAACATTTAAAAGACACTTGGATAAGTTTATGAATAGGAAAGATTTAGAAAGATATTGGCCAAATGCAGGTAGTTGGGACTAGTTTAGTTTGGGAACATGTTCAACATGGACTGGTTGGACTGAAGGATCTGTTTCCATGCTGTTTGACTCTATGACTCTAAAGGGCATAAATGCATTAGAGGAAATCCATAAGAAATGTTTATTTGACTGATGCCTGGGATGGCAGGATTATCTTACGAGGGAAGGTCGCATGAGCAGGGTTTCTTTGCATTGACGTTTAGAAGGATGAGAAGTGATCCTATTGCAATATATAAGTTGATCCTGAGACGGATGTGACAGACTGAATGCTAAAAAGGTGTTTGCTGTTGTGGGAGGGATTAAAATTAGGGAACAAAGTTTAACCATCAGTGGCCTTCATCTTAAGATTCACATAAGGAGGAATATTTTTCTGTGAGGGTCATGAGTATTTGGAACTGTCTTCCCCAGAGATTGACGATGGGTTATTGAATACCTTTGGAAGAGATGGATAGGTTGTGGACTCTCAAAGGAATTAATGGTTCACATGAGTAAGTGGGAATGTGGTGTTGAAGCCACAATCAGATCATTCATGATGCTGTTGAATGGCCGAGCAGAATAAAGAGGAAGAATGACCCAATGTACATGATTGTAAGACAGGCAATAAGGTTGGGAAATAGAGAGCATTTTGATGTGGATGACACTCATAGAAGAAGCAGCGAGGTAGTTGATGAAAAGACCAAAGAAAAGAACAAAATCATGGTGAATGCAAATAGGACAGCACATTATCTAAGGTGCTAATGAGAGACTTGGGAGGTAGACTTTCCAGGGATGTCAGTGCAGCGATTGGACAGCAAGGAGGTGAAGAGTGGTCAGTCATGGCTTGTTAATGATGAAGCCTCAGAGGTGGAGAAGCCCCTCTATTGAGGAAATAATCTTGTAAATAATGCAGTGAGAGGAGGCGATGGCCTAATAGAATTATGGCTGAACTATTACTCCAGAGACCCAGGTAATGTTCCCTCAACCTGGATTTGAATCTTGCAATCTTAGATGGTGAAATTTGAATACAATAAAAATCTGGAATTAAGAGTCTCATGACAGTGAATCAATTGTCGATTACTGGGGAAAAAAAAACCCATCTGGTTCACTAATGTCCTTTAGGGAAGGCAACTGCTATCCTTACCTGGCACAGCTATGTGGTTGACTGTTAACTGCTGTCTGGGATGGGCAATAAATGCTGGCCTAGCTGGTGACGCCCTCATCCTGTGAGTGAATTTTTTAAAAAGTCAAGAGAGCTAGCAAGGAGAATTTAAGTGCAGCAAAACTCTTTGAGGATGCACAGTGTGTGAGAGAGAAATGTGAAAGGAAGATTTCACCAAGGAAGTCACCAGCAGCTTTGAAGTTAGACATTGAGGATCTTAAGAGAGAGAGGTGGGAATATGCGGAAATGGTTGATATGCTTGGAATTGAATGAAACACGTTAATAAGGGGGAAGATCTGAATATATGTTAGGAGCACGAGAAGGTCATTAGCAGTGAGCGTCTGGGAGCGTTCAGCAGGACTGTTAATATCAAGAGTGGTTGAGAGGAACAAGGTTCGAATGAAATCTGGTTTACGGTGGCAAATTTAGTTACACATGTAGCTAGGGTGACCTTGATGAAGAAAAATAATATACTGTTCAGAAACCAGACTTTCATTGATCCAGAATAAGGTCATGTATGGAACTGCTATAGTTGGGATGAAAGTGGAAAAGTAATTGGGGCTTATTACGGGTGAAGAATAAATGCTATATGACACTTCTGTTGAACAGAGATGGTGAATAAGGGGATACTAAAGAGGAAGTATATTTCCAAACTCAAGAAATAGCACGCTGGATTTTGACTCAACTCTGAAGCCTTCTCGATTCTGATTTCTCTTCACAGATGCTGCCAGACCTGCTGAGCTTTTCTAGCAACTTCTGTTATAGATTCTATGTTGAGTTCATTTGTTTTAGGGCATGACCAATGGCTCCTTTTTATTTTGTGTCTTTTTTTCTGCTTTATTTTGCTATGTTCTGGTTGCTTTCTTATCCCTTCATTCTGCATTCTGAAAACTTTCACACAGCAATTCATGCTTCACCAGGGGGCAACTTGTGTTTCTTTATGACATCCATTGCCACTCTTCGTTGCTGTTGCATCACAGAATCTTTCATTTTTTTCCATCTCTGGCCTTCACCCTGCTGTGGATCTTCTCTTTTATTTGTCTTTGCCACCCTCCCTTTTTCCACTGGCTCCAAAACTCTGACATACCTGTTTCTCTACAGTTCTGGTGAAAGGTCATTGGCCTGAATCAGTGGCCCTCTTTCACTCCACAATAGCTACCTGACCTGCTAACACTTTCCAACTTAGAAGGTACATCTGTTGACCAGTGTTAAAATGTTACCCAGTTCTTTTTGTTTAAATCATACGCATGTTTTGTTTCATTCCAAATAAACTGCTTCCTTAACATTTCTCCCTTTCCTTGTTTTCTTCCAGTGCGGTGTTTACCTGGACAAATCTTTTGGTGGTGGTGGTTGAGTTGGATGGATCAGAACAAGAGGCTTTGGACCTTGTTCCTTTGGTCACTAACGTGGTTCTGGAGGAACATTACCTAATCGTAGGAGTAGTGGTTGTGGTTGATGTTGGAGTCATCCCTATCAACTCTCGCGGAGAAAAACAACGTATGCATTTAAGGGATGGATTTTTGGCCGACCAACTAGATCCTATCTATGTGGCCTACAACATGTAGCCTCCTGTTCTAAGGCTTCTGTTAACAATATGTGTGTACATATGTAAAAAGAACTCTTGGTGTTCACCACAAAGTGTGCAGAAACCAATAGACAGTACTTGCTCCACACAGGGACTTTCTGCACTTGCAAGCACTCTTGACTCGCCACAAAGATGTGAAACTATTTCTTTGTACCACAAACGTTTAACAGGCAAAGACAATGATAAGTACACAACCCTTTGAAAGTCAAAAGCCCCATTATGGAGCCTATTTCTTGCTTGTTGGTTGATTAACTGCTTTTGAAGTAAGTGTACTATCTGCGCTCTGTATTTTTAAGTTATATCAGCTGAAGTTGCTTACGTTTTTTAATCTGCCCTCTAAGGGGGTGCTTTTTATGTATTCACATACTGTGGCAAAAGCAAGTATTTTAGATTGTTGATTCTTGAGATTTGGTCAAAAATTGTCAAAAAGTTGTAAACAAGGAACCTTCTATCTAGAAATGATTGGCTTAGGACATTCTGTCTCCTTTTTTTTCTTATGTCTAGTATTAGGAGGTACAAGAGTAATGTCCACCCTGTCAACACCTTCTGCACCGACATCATGAGTTCCCTCTCAAAGCAGGGCTTGAAAACCCAGAAATGCAGTCAGGAGAGGTATCTGCTACCAAACAATGTGGGTGTCAATTGTTAGTGCAGCTAGGGATGGGGACTCAATTATGTTTTCGCTTGTGTGATGATATCATTGTACTACAAACGGGAGGAAAAGAAATACTGAGTGACTTCATATCATGTAATTATGTACAAAACAGTTTTAATTTATTTTGTTCTCTTTAGAAGTATATTAACAGAAAGACATTTGCGAGTGTTTTCCTCTTTTAAGTGTTTGCTAATAAGAAGCAAAGTGTTGCGTTATTTTATGTGGATAGCTTCACATCAGCACACTATATTCGAGGTAACTCATCAAATCTATGGTTTTACCAATGGAAGAGATGTTGAAAATCCAGTAATTCTTACTTGCATGGTGTCCCAGTTTTGAAATGAACAATGGTCATGTTATTCACCCAGCCCTCCTCAGAGGTGTAGTATTTCAGTGTGTGAAATGACCCGCAAGCAACTTCCATCAGAAGATTCCAGCTTGGGGAAAAACAAAAGTCAATGGACATCTTCATGCTTGTGAATTAACTGAGTTTTAAAAGTGCACTAAAAAAAAATTGAAAAAAAATCAATAAAAAAATTGTATTGTGCCAGATTGCCTGGTGTTCATTGATAATTTTGTGTTGGCATGTGCACACTTACACTGTTAGACTCTCCGCATGTGGCAGGTTAAACAGAGTAGATTGTGTGTTTTCTAAGATGTGTGCATGCTTAATGCTCCAGTGTGACTTCAGATTATGAACTGACAGCTATTACTGATCGTTTCAAACTTTTTACTGCTGCTAATTGTGTTTATAGTAAAGCTTTTTCTTAACTTGTAATGGGTTTGTAAGAATTGAAAACGAAACGTAAAACATCTAGCTGCAAAAGAGCCGTTATGCCAGTAAACACACTTCGAAATATTGCGTTAAGGTGTAGGATGTAAGAAACTAATGTACAAGAATAAGTGTTAATTTTTACAGTTAAAATTTTTGCAATGATATATTTTACATTAAAATGTCAAGTTTTTAAATTTTTTTCTGATAGGGTGCAGTGTACTCAGAAAATTGGTGACTAACAGCTTTTCCTCCACATTTATTACAGTCCCATTCCCCATCGCTGTGTAGGCTGTTTGTCATTTTTCGATACCACCTTCCATCTACTTCTAGTTGAGAGGCTAAAAGACTGTGGCTTGCAGTTCATTTCTCTCTGCCTTTGGTAATATTGCTTTGCAGTTGACTGGTGGGAGATTTAAGAGACTGATCAACGACATTTCACTTTTTCTGTTCTCCTGAGCTGAAAAACATTCAATATGATATGATACCACCACAGCAGCATCGTTGAAGACCAACAGGTCACTCGTCAAATTAGAATGATGGGCAACTGTTGAGCTGTCTAGTCAGGTTTGAAACCCTCCGCATTGGGCTGCCTTAATGAATGAGTGAGCTCTTGGATGTTGACTACCTTCCAGTGTATGCATATGGTGTTCACCATGAATGAGGAAGTAGACGGTTTAGCAGTGGTAATAATGCTGCTTTTCTTTTTCTGAAACCTAAATCCATGCTCTTAACGTAGCACGTTACCTCCTAAGGTTTATATAATATTTTCAAAGCCAGGTATGTTGTGTCCTCTGCTGCCTGCCATTTGTAAAGAGAGTCTAACATTTACTATTTGTAGTAAAGTAGGTTTCTTGTTTCGTTGTGGGAGTGGAAGAAGCAACCGTCCAGAGTCCAACTAGACTCAGCAATAAAGAAGGCTCGTCCTTTATTAGAAAACTTACTATAGATAAACCATGCATTAGAATGTATAGAAACAGTTTGTCTTGTGACCTAGTGCTTTGAAGTAAAACAAAACCGTGTAATCCAACTTGATGCACATGCACAAAAAGGAAGGTACATGAAGATCATATAACGTCAAAACAAATCAAAAACAGGATCAGATTCCTCATGGTGCTTGTTATTATTATTAATCCTGCTTGACACTTTACCCAAGGGAAGACTGTCCCTTTATCAGTTGAATGTTAGCAACATTGAGTCGCATAGTTTGCTGAATGGTAAGAGAATTTCATGTACTCAACCAATCACAATGGATTTTACTGTGCAAAGGACAGCAATCTTTCTTGTATGTTAAACCACCAGTTCGCTTTGTACATGTGATAACGCCTGTTTTATATTCAAATGAACAAATAAAAGCTTTTATTTTTGTTGCTCTGAAAACACATCATCTGTCTTCATTCGGTGTAACTACTTCCCTAATAATGCCCTCAGATAACTGACAATTCTGTCGCAGCCTTCAGTTTGCATCCTCTTTGAGATTAGATACGATTCTTTTCATAAAGTTGAAAATGACTATGTAAGTAATGTGAGGATAGCAGTTTTTGGATCTGGGATACCAAACAGCAGGGATGAATATGATACTGTATAAACAAGTCGATGCATGACATGTACAATTGGGAAAAGCTTGTTGCCTATCTGACTGGTTTGAAATCTAATATCGCAATCACCCAATTCTACAAATGCCTGTATTTTAAGGATGATATAAAATTCCCTTATGAATCTTGAATACAGGGAATAATACTTCTGTGTTCATAAAAACTAAAAGAACTGCGGATGCTGTAAATTGGAAATAAAAACAGAAACTGCTGGAAAAGCTCAGCAGCTCTAGCAGCATCTGTGGAGATAAATCAGAGTTAACGTTTCTGATGGATTGACCCTGCCTCAGAACCATTAACTCTGATTTCTCTCCACGGATGCTGCCAGACCTGCTGAGCTTTTCCAGCCATTTCTATTTTATATCCTTTGAGTTCCCTTTCCTAGCGAATAACATTCTAGGATTTTCAACCTTTCCTCATTACTTGGATGATTTTTGAATTTGGTTACCTTTTAAAGCACAGACACCAATGAAGACGTGTCCTTTCTATAGTATAGTGAGCAAAATTGTACATAATACTCCAGGCCTCATGATCAGGTACTTTGTATCAATTCTAGATGTTTGTGGTATCTCTATGTTGATGTATCTCTCGCTATCTAGTTGCCATTTCTTAGAGTAGATGAATTTTATGCTTGGTTTCAACAATGTATTCACAAATACCCTAAGATTGTCTACCTGTTTCTCTGCTACACTTTGCTTTCTATTCCCACGGTTTGTTCCCAATCTCTGGACGTATTGCATTTCTCCATATTTAATCCATTTGCCATTCAGCAGGCCTTTTTTTTAAATATTTCTCCTTGCTTAATTTCCATTAATTAATAACAGAAACAGCAATTGCTGAAGAAACTTTGCAGGTCTGGCAGCAAGAAAGCAGAGTTAATGTTTCAGGTCCATTGGCCTTGAGTTCTCAAGATCCATCACTGGAATTAACCTTGAGAAGCTAAACTAAGCTGATTGCTTCATCTGCCTTAAACTTCCTCAATCTATCAGTGACCACTGAACTGAAATTTCCATTTCATTTAGTATTTTCTTCCCTTGAATATCAATTACACTGGGCAGACTGTACACAAATGATATTCCTGTTCACTAGCTGTGACTCAGTTAGCATATTTGCTGTCCTTTCTCTGTTTGCTAACATGTCACTTTTAGGGTCTTTCAATAGACCATCTTACCCTTTCACTCCTGCTTTCTGTAGATAATTTGTAGAAATGCTTGATGTTTCGTTCAGTATTTCCTATTGTCCTAAATTTGTTTACTATTTTGGCTCTACTGACCTGTTTCTTAATTTCTACAAATTAACATTATATAGATTTCTTGAAAAAGACCTCTGGAAAGTAAACTGTTTTGAACTGAAATTCAATATAAATAAAAGCTCAAGTTGCTGGTTATGTCAATAATTTAAAGTAGTTTTTGCTTGTTAGGATTGGCAACAATGAAGTTGAATTTATTACTCTGAGGTGATGATGAAGTTGAACGCTACAGAGTGCATTAAAAGTCTTACTTCTGGGTTAATCTCATGTAGATCAAATTGGGCAGAGATATGGATGTCTTTCCTAGGAGATGATGATCAGTTGGGTTTTATTATCAAATAACAACTTGATTTTTTGTGTGAGCCTCCAAAGAGCAAGAATTATTAAGTTCCATTTCAAATCTTGCCATTCTTTTGAACAATTCATCTCTGGATTGCTTGTCTAGAATGATCATCACTATGCCATTGTTCTGTAAGCAACCACTTGTTAAGTCAGATTATTTGGCATTTGTAAGCTATATTTGCAGAATTGATATTGTACAGTTAACATTTTTGAAAAACAATAAAAAATTTTTTTTAAACATTCCTCAGATACTGAAGCAGTCCATTTTCAAATGCAACTGGACAATATCCAGGCTTAGGCTGACAAGTGGCAAGTAACATTCACACCACACATACCAGGCAATGGCCATCACCAATAAGAGACAATCTAACCACCGCCCTTTGACATTCAATGGTGTTACCATAATGGAATCCCCCACTATCAACATCCTGGGAGTTATCATTGATCAGAAACTCAACTGGACTCCCCATATAAATGCAGTGGCTACAAGGGCCAGTCAGAAGCTGGGAATACTGCAGCGAGTAGCTCGCGTCCTGACTCCTCAAAGCCTGTCGTCCATCTACAAGGCACGAGTCAGAAGTGTGATGGAATATTCCCCACTTATCTGCATGAGTGCAGCCCCAACAACACTTGAGAAGCTTGACACCACATTCACAAACATCCACACTTCCACCATCAACGTTCAGTAGCAGCAGTGTGTACTATCTACAAGTTGTACTGCAGAAATTCACCAAAGATCTTAGACAGCACCTTCCAAACTCTCAACCACTTTAATCTTGAAGGGCAAGGTCAGCAGATACATGGTAACACCATTGAGGTTGGTTGGCTCACCGAGCTGGTTTCTTGTTTCGCAGACGTTTCATTACCTTGCTGGGTAACATCCTCAGTGCGGCCTCCGATGAAGTGTCGGTGTGTTCTCCAACCTGGTTTTTAAACTCTGGGGTCCGTTGAGATGGATTGCCTCACTTCCGGTTTTCCTTCGTAGTGGAATGTATATGAGGTCGAGTTCAATGTGTTTATTAATAGCATGCTTCGTGGGGTGCCATGCTTCCAGGAATTCTTGTGCTTGTCTCTGCCTAGCCTGTCCCAGGGTCTTGGTGTTGTCCCAGTCGAAGTCGTGGTTCTCCTTGTCCATGTGGATTGAGATGAGTGAGTATTGGTTGTGTCTTTTGCCAGTTGGTGTTCGTGTACCCTTGTTGTTAGTTTCCTTCCTCTTTGTCTGATGTAGTGTTTCTCGCAGTCTCTGCAGGGGATCTTGTAGATGACATTGATCCTGTCCATGATGGGGAGTGGGTCTTTCGTTCGGGTGAGCAGTTGTCGTAGGGTTGATATGGGCTTGTGTGCCACTCTGATGCCCAGCGGTCGTATGAGTCTTGTGGTGAGTTCCGACGTGTTCCTGATGTAGGGTAGTGTGATGAGTGTGTCGGTGCGTGTAGTCTCTTTCTGATGCTGTTCATGTAGGCATTTTCTGACCCAGTTCTTTGGCTATTCATTATCCTTAAACCTGGAAGAGGTATTCTTCTTCCTCTTGGCGTAGTTCCATGTTGCTGCAGTGTGTTGTTGCCCTTTTAAATAGTGTTTGCACGCAGCTTCGTTTGTGTGTGCTGGGATGGTTACCGTTGAAGTTCAGTACCTGGTCTGTGTGTGGCTTTTCTGTGTACTTTCATTTGCAGTTCCCCATTTGTCTTGCGCTCTGCCATGACGTCCAGGAATGAGAGTTGTTTGTTCTTCTCCTCTCTGGTGAATTTTATTCAGGTGAGGGTGTTGTTTATAAGTTTGTGTGTCTCCTCTAGTTTAGTCTGTTTAATGATGACAAAGGCATCGTCTACGTAGCATATCCACAGTTTTGGTTGGATTTGTGGAAGGGCGGTCCTTTCTGGTCTTTGCATCATTGCCTCTGCTATGAGTCCAGAGCTGGCGATCCCATTGGGTGTCCTGTTGATTTGTTCGTATGTTTGGCCGTTGAAGGTGAAGTGGGTGGTGAGGCATAGGTCCAGTAGTTTGAGCATGTTGTCCTTGGAGATGGTTTAACTGGGGTCGTGCTCTTGTTCCAGTAGTGTTGTCATTGTTTCCCTTGCTAGTGGTATGCCTATTGATGTGAATAGGGCGGTGACATCAAACGATATCATGGTCTCTTCGTCCTCTATCTTTATGTCCTTGATGGAGTTGAGGAATTCTTGGGCAGAGTGGATGGAGTGGGGTGACCTGTTGACTAGGTGCCTGAGTCTCCTTTGTAGTTCTTTGGCTAATCTGTGCGATGGAGTGCCATGGAGACTATGGGTCTGAGGGGGACGTCCGGCTTGTGTACTTTAGGGAAGCCGTAGAATCGGGGTGCGTTGGTTTCTTCAGGTTTCATTCTTAAGAAGTCTGCTTTGTTAATCTGTCCTGTTTATTTTAAGTCTGTGTAGCGTGTAGAGGATTTTATTGCCTAGTTGCGGTGTCGGGTCAGTTTGTACTGGCCGGTATGTGTTCTCGTCAGCGAGCAGTGCTAGTGCCTTGGAGATGTAGTCCCTTTTATTCAGTATCACTGTCATGCGTCCTTTGTCTGTAGGTAGTACTGTGATGTTCTTGTCCTTCTTTAATCCGTCCAGGGCCTAGCTTTCCTGTGTTTTGAGGGTGTTGAGTTCGTTCCTTCTGGTTAGTGTCGGGATTACTGTCTGTCTTATCATTTGTTGTGTTTCTTTGTTGATAGTGTTGGTCTTGAGTGTGGCTTCCAGTGTGGCTAGGAATTCCGTTTTGTTGGCGTCCCTGTAGTTGTAGTTCAGTCCTTGGGTGAGAACGGGTTTTTTCTATATCTGTAAAATGGTAACACCATCACATGCAAGATCCCCTCAAAGCTACTCACCATCGTGATTTGGAAACATATCGTTGTTCCTTCACTTTTGCTGGGTCAAAATCCTGGAATTCCCTTCCTAAGGGCTTTGTGGGTGAACCCACAACACCCAGACTGCAGCAGCTCAGGAAGGTAGCTCACTGCCAACTTCTCCATGGAAACTAGGGATGGACAATAAGTGCTGGCCTGCCAGTGGCACCCATGTTCCATGAATGCATAAAAAGCAACTCTGTTGGTGCCTATTGGGATGTTTATGTTACTTTGATTACCTCACTGCTTGACTCTTAAATACATGCTCACTTCCCCTGGTCCTTATGTTCTCTCTCATCTTTATAACCACCTTTCCTTAAGTACTAACTTA